CCCGCCAACCTTCCTGCCAACCTTCCCGCCAACCTTCCTGCCAACCTTCCCGCCAACCTTCCCGCCTACCCCTCTTTTGTGTGATGATGTTTGTGTTTCCTCACTCTTGCAGCCATTGGGTCCGTAGTCCCAGAATCCAGGAGCGCACTGCCGGCAGCTCGAGTCGCTCACTCCAGGCCTGCAGGCGCACCGACCGCTCTGAGGGTCACACAGCTGGACGAGCGCCGCAGCGGCGTCACAGTCACACTTACGGCAGCCGGAGCACGAGTCGAAGCCAAACGAGCCATCCTGAGAGGAGGAGTAACAATAATCTGAATGAGCATTTTAGAATAACATACGTGTTCTGAAACTGAGCAAACACGTCACCAACCGCAGGACTGACCTCTGACCTCGTTACATCATGAATCACCTGACGCAGCACGCCGTTTCTCCTCTTATACGGCTCGTTTTTTTGTGACTCACTTAGAAAAACGTATGTTTCCGTTGTATGTATGTTTTTAAAATTTATTCACAGACCTCTTTCTGTCATCACTCTGTGACAGTCTGAGCTACATTCATATGTTCTAAAGATGGCGCCGCCGCGTGGATCACTGTCGACTCCTAGTACGGCTCTAGACCACTTCCAACATGGCGGCCGTGTTTAAATGACAGATGTTGTGGTGATGTGACCTCAGAGAGCGCTCTCACCTCGCAGCGATCGCAGAGCGGCCCGGTGACTCCGGGCTTGCAGCGGCACTGTCCGCTGTGCGGGTCACATGACTCGGTTCCACACGGAGAGCAGTCACACTCTGCATTAGAAAGCACACACACGCTGAATCCACCTGCAGCCTGCACTGCCAAACCTGATCACGTGACCGCGGGACGCCGAACTCACGGGTGCAGTTTTTGGCGTTAATGGCGTCGCCGTAGTAACCGGGGGCACAGCTCTCGCAGCGCGGCCCGGCCGTGTTGTGCATGCAGCTGAGGCAGTGTCCCGTCAGCGGGTGGCAGTCGGTGAACAGCATGTTGGGGTCCGAGTTCCCGCTGCAATCGCACGTCTGACACCGGCTGCCCAGAACCACCGGGTTGCCGTAGAAACCTGGGGCACACCTGTGAGAGAGGCCGACAGGTGAAGCATTTTTAACTGAAATACCTGATGATTATGATGGATACACAGCGTGTGGCGTTTTCCTTCCTACCAGCATCATTAGTTTGTATATTTAACTTTATCATTCATTTCATAAAATTATTAATTTTTATTTGATTTCTTAATGACTGAGAACGTTTCAGGGTGATTTCAGCACCATCAGCCCTCACTTCATCCTCTGTCTGAAACAGGCTGTTTAAGCTCCTCCCCCTGCAGACCAACATTCTTTCTGATTGGCCCTCTTACATGGGTGGAGCTCCTGAACCCTGAGTATTTGGAGACGAGGTCGCCCGCTGACCTCACTGTGAGGAGCATGTTTAGTACGGACGTCTGGAGCGCGGCTCCACTCGTTTACCTTTCGCAGTTCGGTCCGGCGTAGCCGGGCATACAGCGACACTGCATGCTGTCACCTCTCTGCACGCAGCCCTCCGCAAAACTACAGACAGACAGGAAGGAAGAAGAGTGAAAAACTACAAATCAGGACAGCATCAAAGCACGTGGGAGACTCTTAGTTTGAAAAACAGGAAATGTTACTTGTGGCGTTCCTCAGGGCAGCCATGTGGGGCCTTTAACATTTTCAGCTTCCATATTTACTGATGACTAAACACTAAATGCGGCTGAATCATTGAACCTTAAATTCATGCTAAATTCCCAGTATTCCCAACAAACATACAGGAATGGGCTGAGGCATAGGGAGTGGAGGTACTGACTTGTTGGATGGAGCTCTCAGCGGGCAGGGGCAGCTGGAGCACGTCACGGCCTGACCATCCACGCTGTTGTTACCTAGGAACCCCCCCTGGCACGTCTCACAGTGGTCGCCGGCCGTGTTGTGCCGGCAGTTCTGACGGACAGAGACAAGAATGGTTAGAGATCCGTGACATCAGAGCGAGAGGACGTCAGGAGGCAGCGTGCAATCAGAGCTCCTCACCACACAGATCCCAGATCCGTCCAAACACTGGTCCGAGTGTCCGTTACAGCTACAGGGAACACACTTCCCCAGGAACAGGCCGATGGTGTCTCTGTAGTACCCCGGAGCACATCTCTGCACACACACATCACGACCTTTAACCTTTATCCGCCATCACCGCCTCCTCTTTGCGAGTCGCCACCCCAACAAACCCAGATCCAAACCCCGTCCCTCACCTGGCACGAGTCTCCCAGGTAGTTGGCGGGACACATGCAGATTTCCACATTGTTGGCGTGGCGTCCAACAGGCAGGCTCTCTGCACCCTCTAGCACGGCGCCACGCAGCGACACGGACTGGGCTGACTGGGAGTGCAGGGCTCGGATCTGCAGAGACTCCAGCCCGACCAGAACCATCATCAGCTCCTCTCGGGACACCGGGTTACCGGTCCGAAAGTGACGGAAACTTCCCTGTAAGCACAGGAAGGACACGAAGAAAACATTGTCATCGGCTCCGCTGTGAGGTCACGTTCTGACATCAGCTGAGTGACAGGTACAGGTGGACTAGCTGACCAGAGCTAAGTGTTTACAGGGAACCTCTAAAACGGCTTCCTGAGGCCTCTCATGGGGTCAGGAGTCAACAGCTTTCTAATATCACAGAAGAATGCACAGGTGACGTTACCTCAACGATGTGGACGATGCCCAGGTGAGGCTCCTCAGGGGACGAGTATTCTCTCTCCATGAACACCAGGGTCATCTGGTTACCCTGGACAACAGAAACAGGAAGTAAAGCTGTCAGCATGCTAACACACAGCTAACGCTACATATGAGAGGGCACAGGTGTGTGTGTCTGTGTGCGCACGTGTGTGTGCGTGCTTTGCACCTTGAGGATGATGTCGGGTTTCGGGGCCTCGGCGGGCAGAGGCAGCACGTCTCCTCTCATGGTCTGCGTGTGCAGACGGTACCTGAGATAGCCTCCGTAGGAGGAGACCTGTGCAGACAGGAGCAGATCAAAGCTCAGACACAAACAGAGCACCACGCGGCGTACAGGCTGATGAAACACAAAGCGCGGCCTGCAGTTTATCTGCGACAGATAAAACCTGCACGTCTGCTGCGCGCATGCAGGTTGCAGCAGGCTGCCATCTGAAGCCGGTCGTTGGAGCGTAACAGCGGGGGATTTAACCGTCAGAATAAAGGGTGACGCTTTCACACATGAAAGCTGCTGATCTCCGTCTGAGCCTTTGGTCGGCTGTGTGGGACGTGTCTGTAACAGAGCGAGGGATTCTGGGACTCTGTGAGGCCGTAAGCTTTAAAAACAGATCTGCACCTGGAGACGGCTCAGGCTCACTGCTGGCTCATCTTCACCCTCATCCTCTCTGAGTGCACACAGATCCATCAGATAAAGGCGTGTTCAGACTCCAACCACCCGCCCGGTTCTTACAGCACCTGACTGATCTTTAACTGGAAGAACTCACCTTGTCTCCCAGGTAAGTGTTCGGAGCGTGCCAGTACAGCTCCTGATAAACATCGGGCACGTCGGTGATGTCGGCCTCTACCAGGTCCTGATCTGGATACACGATTACGGGGACTTCCTGCCTGTCGGCTCCCAGCAGCACCCAGCCCTCCATGTCCATGACCTGCAGAGACGACGCGGCTGCTGTGAGGCTCAAAGTCAGTAAATCAGTGAGCATGTGGAAACGTCACAGCATTCAGCAGCTTTCTGAAACTCTGTGAGCTCGAGTCAGGATCAGCTCGCTGCAGAAAAACTACCACAAACATCAGGTTGTGTTTAACAAAACAAGCATATTATGGGATGTAGACGAGCACCTCGGTGCGCCTCATGCTGGAGCTGTGGCAGCGGCCGGTGGCTCCGAAGCAGAAACAGCTGGTGCATCCTTTTGGGTTGGTCGGGTCCAAGTGGAACGTACCATCTCTGCACTGATCACAGCGAGGACCCTGGACGTTCTCCTGCAGGGGGAACACACACACACACACACACACACGCACGCACACATACAGCAATGTCAGACACACAAACATGACAGACTCGTGTACGTTTGTGCGTTTGTGTACGTGAGTGCAAACCTTGCAGAGACACTGTCCTGTGGACGGGTCACACACTTCCTCCTCGGCCCCCGCCTCGTTGCAGTCACATGGTCTGCAGTTGGGGTAACCGTAGAAACCGGGGGCACAGCGGTCGCACTGACGTCCGACGATGTTGTTCTGACATCTGGAAACAGATGTGCCGAATCTCAGCTTCTATAACCTTTGACCTCTGTCTGTGTGTGTGAGCATGTACTCACATCTTTGTGGGATCAAAATTGGAAGTTTACCAGCCTTGTGGGGACCAAAATATCCGTCTCCACAAGTTTGAGGACATTTTTTGTGTCATGGTCACAGTTGGGTTATTGTGAGGTTTACAGTAAGCGTAATGAATACCTGACATGTGTGTGAGAAGTGAGGAAAGACACCTACAGCTGCAGTCTAGGGTAATAACACTGTTCACCACAAGGTGGTGCACTGGGTCAGCGTGAGCTTGATTACATTAGATCATTAAGAAGCTGTTCTCATGTGTGATGGCAGCCTTAGGAAAGGAGGCGGAAGAGAAATGAGGTTATCAACAAAATAAACTTTAGAGCTTTTTATTGTCATTGTGCGGTTTCTTGCACAGTGAACCACAAAGGTGCAAAAGTAAAGAAAACAATATACAACGAGGAAAAAAAAGCAAAATCTATGTATAGATATATGTGAGTAAACTATATACATGGTGTATGCGTAGAAACACTGAAACAGAAACATTGTGGGGCTGTATACAGGGCAGTTATATAATATATCAAATAAATAAATAAGAGTGGAGGGGCTATGCTCATTTGGGGTGGGGATGGTAATTCCACTGAGACCAAAATGTTGCACAGAACAAGGAAAGACTGAGATATTGCACATGAGATGACAGCAACATAGTTGATCTGCCCCCTGGTGGTGAAAACGTGCATAACGGACACAAGAGAGGTATCAATCTGAAATTGAGCTATCCAAAAAAACCTTGGAGTTTGTAAAATTATAGAAACTTCACAAAGAAAGAAATCAGGCAGTCGGAAAGTTTAAACCTGGCAGCTTCAGAGAGCACACAGCCACCGGAGCGAGACAAACACACACAACCCCTCTTTGTCCTGAGGTCGCTTCCTGTTCGTCTTACCTACACTGCCCACTGAGCGTGTCGCAGCTCACATCGGGCGCGATGATGCCAGCGTGAGAGCAGTTGCAGACCTCGCAGCCCACCAGCGGGTGGCAGCCAAACGTCTGAGGCTCGCACTCGGTGCATTCTGGGAGGACGGTCCTCGGCGGGCAGATGCAGTCCCCCGTCACCGGCTCGCACAACCTCGAACCGCAGTTACAGGCTGCAGGTGACACGGGAAGGTGAGTGAGAGCAGGAACACAAGGGAGCGAGACAGGAAAAACCCCACGCGCCTTCTTCGCAGCAAAATAAAAGTTTTATGAATAAATAAGAGTGAATCTCGGACGCCGTCCCTGCAGCGTTTCATCGCGCAGACTTACACTCGTCTGCACACTTCAGTTGTTCCATTTTTCTGCTTAAAGACGACTTGAAAATACAGGAAAGGTGAGATGGTGAATGATCTGATCAGGCAAACACTCACGTCTGCAGTTGGGGAATCCCCAGTAACCCGTGGCACACGTGGAGCAGTCTCGTCCAATCACGTTGGACCTGCAGCGACACTGACCGCCAAAGCGTTCGCAGGTGTTGCTCTCAGCTCCGACTTCGTGGCAGGCACAGGGCAGCGCGCCGTTGTTGACGAAGGCTGACAGAGATATGGCCGAGCTGAGGCAGAACGGCGAGGAGGAGGGACTGCGGGAGAGAGGAAGAGTTCACACCTGTGGGGATGACGCTAACACGCTAAACTACTGCCCAGCATCTTCACCCGCTCACCTGATGTAAAAGCTGTTTTGACCGCAGAGTCTGATGAAGTCGTAGGATTTGTCCAGCGGCTCCTCGCTCAGGTAGCTGGAGCTGTAGCTCGACTCAGGAACAACCAGCAGGTAATCCTGCAGACACGAGGAAGAACGTCAGCTGCTGCCTCATCTCCACCTCAAAGGAAAAAACGATCCCTGAACGTCATTCTGCAGCATCAAGCGTAGCTGTGATGCAGAGCAGCGACACTGACCAGCCACAGCGTCTTCCCCGCAGGTATCTGCACCGTGACGAGTAGCTCGTGGTCCGTCACATCCAGAATGATCTGATTCTCCGACACCAGGACGTCACGGCAGCCGTAAGCGTGAGGACAGAACGAGGCGTTGACGTGTCCTGAGAAACAGGAACAAAATAGAGCCAATCATCAGCCCCCAGCACCAGAAGCTGCAGTTCCTCTGATGCCCAGCAGAGGCAGCAGTGAGTCAGTCCCACAGGCTTCTAAATGATTTTAAGCCTAAAAGTTTGCATTATTGGGGGCGTGGCCTCTGTTACTGACAGGCGGCTGTAGCTGCTAGCTGTCTGCTAGCTTCACCTGACCTCTGGGCCTGTTTGTGCTGTTGGAGCCTTCAGGAGCATTTTTAGTGACATCATGTGACCAATAACAGGGCGGAGCTCCAGTTTTGATGCACAGTGAGATTCATGATTTTGATTGGATGTTACTGATTAGCAGGTATCGCTGTGTGTGTGATGCACATGCAGTCTGAACAGGTTTCATTACAGCTTTGAAAACTGAGCCTCAAACTGCAGCCACAGGTTTATGTCCATCTTTTATATACAGTCTGTGGTGAGAATAACCTGACTAGCTTGTCGTCACTGACGGTGATGCAGCAGATCCAGGATCAGACTGTGTCCTTACCCTGCCAGATCCGCCCCCCGTTAATGAAGACCTGTACGGGGTAGGTGGGGTGCAGAGGCTGGTGGTAGTGGAGGATGAAAACGTAGCGGCCGAGGGCGTGGACCCGGGCAGAGTACATCACTGCATTCTGGGTAAAGGAGGCGACGGGAGAGGAATGATTACGGTGTCAGACACATTCGTGGGATTTTTATCGATCCTTTAAAATGTGTGCACGTCTCAGTCGGGTTCTGTAACTCCGTTATGTTTCACCTGAGATAAAAACGGATCGCGTGCGACGTCACGCATATCTAAACTAAACACCCCCCAACAACACGCCCCATCACCATCAGTACCTGCAGCGAGTCCAGCCGCACGTGGTCGGTGTTTTCCGCTCCGAACGGCGGTCTCTCCAATCCCATCCAGTCTGGCTCCTCTCTCAGAGGAGGCGCAGCAGCAGGGGAGGCGGGCTCCTGCAGGGTGGAGGAGCTCTGGCCCTCCTTCAGGAACAGAGAGTCTGACGGGGTCAGGAAGCGTGAGGGGACGCAGGAGGAGCTGTCAGGTGAGAAGTGTCCGTGCGTGCCGATGCAGTGGACGCGCGGGGCTACGTGCTCCATGCTGAACTGCTGTCTGGGCACCAGGTACACTTTGTGCTGAAACACATGTGCAACACGCATTAGGATCGAGCTGATCAGGTGACCGATCATGTGATGCGAGAGTGACTCTCACCAGGAAGAAGGTGGCTCGGTCAGCGGTCAGCTGGATCTCTGCGTCTGAGGGGAGGGAGAAGACCGCCACTCTGTTCCGCTCGTCGACGGCCACGACTCGACACAGGAAGCTACACACGCACGCACGCACACACATTTAAATGACTTTACATGAGGCAGCGCGCTTTCAAACACGTCCTTCTCTGTAGTGGGGGGAGGAGCCTTGCAGCTTACCTGTATCTGCACTGCAGCAAGGTGACTCTGTGTCGGTGCGTTCTCGCTCCCGGCACGTTGACAGTGACGGACAGCGTCTGAGGAAGCTCTTCTTCGCTGGAATACTCGAGGACCAGGACGTAGTCGCCCGGAGACGAGAGGCGCCCTCGCAGCTCGACGCTGATCTGCGCAGAAACCGAAGACGTTAATTTAACCTGCACGTTTCACCTGTGGACACATTTCACGGCTGTCTTACATCCAAACCGCTGCAGACGGCCATGTCGGGGTGACGCGGGGAAACCTTCTCGGTCGGGCAGGGGCGGGGCAGGTGGTTGTCGTTGCGGCAGCTGGCATCGTTGCCCGAGATGGAGGGGAAGGAGTCCAGAGACAGGTACTTGTAGAGCAGACAGCTGAGAGAGAGACACACACATCAACGCATCTAAACATCTGCTCCTCCCTCCGGGCTCGCGCCAGGGATGTGTGTAAACACGACGCTACAGAACCACTAACAAAAGATGAATGACGTGAGCGTATTTACTTCTGGCTGGCGTCGGGGGCGGGGCTGTAGGTGCAGGGCTCGCTCACTCTGATCTGCAGGATGGGAGCTTCGTAGTAGGCGCTGGGCAACAGCACCAGGTAATCCTGCAGGATAGAGCAGCAAAAGTCATTCCCTGTGCACACGTGGTGAGGGGAGCAGCACGGAGGCCTCCTCACTGGGGTGGCGGTGGGTTGCAAAGTGGTTTACAGGTGTGCAGCAGCAGCTTACACAGCCTCATTCTCAGAATTACAAACAGCTGAGCCATGATTTGTCACCACCTGTGTATTTGCACGTGTTTGCGTCTCACCAGCAGGACTCCCTCTGCCTCGATCACCACGGTCCAGGTTCCCGGGTTCAGCACGAAGGGCTCCACAAAGGGAACGTTGACGAAGGTCGGCTCCACGCTGGGAGCGAAGACGATCGGCTTGGACTGTTCGGAGCCTTGGACACAAACCGAGACGTTAGGAATGAGCACAACACGCATTCCTCCCCTCTGCTGCTCTGCTACTCAACTTCTACTGATACTTTCATGTGATTGGTGGAGAACCTACCTCTGCGGCTGCCCTGATAGGCTGTTATTTTACCCTTGGTGGTGGCGCCCTCAGAGCTTATGTATCTGAGGATGAAACGAGTCAGATAGACGTCTGCCTCGCTCATATAAACCTGAAGCCTCACCGCAGTCTACGAGGACATCGTCCAAACAGAGGACAGGAGGGAGGGGAGAGGGAGGTTGGAGGGCAGACAAGATCAACATTTGTCCTCAAATCCCTGAAACCTGCACTGATCTGTGGCCCTGAGGAAAGACACGGCGCCGCCACCACCAGCAGCCAAACGCAGCCGAAGCGCAGAGACCGAAGCGTCGCGAGGAGATCGAGAGAGAGTAAGAAGACTTCCCACCTCTCCTGATTCCTGCGCTGCCATGGAAACACAGAGTCCCCTCCCAGCACTTACAGTTCCCGCAGTGGTGGCTCCGGCCGTCCTCCACGACCGTCATCCGGCCCCAAACATCCGAACCTCGCCGGTTAACATAACGCAGCACCACAAAGAAGACGTCCGGAGAGTCGACCGACACCGACACCAACACCTTCGACTACCAAGGGAGCAGAGAGCAGGACGAGGAGCAAAGTAGAGGATCAGAGGAGGCGCACAGAGCGGAGGAAAGAGAAGGAGGAAGACGAGGGGCAGGAGAAGGAAGAGCAAAAGAGACGCTGAGTAAAGGAGGCAGAGACGACAGAAAACACCGACACAGAAACCAGGACAAAGCGACATAATACAGTCTGTCTGCTACGCTCACACGGGACAGGAAGCAAACATTTGAAATGCATGCAAGAGCTGAGACGCAGTCCTGCGACATGTCCCAACAACATGCAGCTGGGCCACAGTAACATAAGTACACAATAACTGCACACACTCACACATTATTTTAAACAACGTCAATCAGATCCTTCCAATAAGGATGAAAAACATCCGACAGCTCATGTGTCTGCTGTTCCTCTGCCGTCCAGCAGAGGCAGCACTGAGTCAGTGTTTGGTGGATAATCTTCTCTACAATCGAGTTTGCACCATTAGGGGTGTGGCCAACAGAAAAGGTCAAAGGTTATGGTCCTACCTGAATTGGGGACATCTGAGCATAACCTCTCCAGCTGAAGTTGGGGAACTCTTGGGGGTTGTAGCCGAATCTCACCGGCCGGCCGTCCAGCATGCTTCCCTCCTCAATCTCAAACTTCAGGTGATGGAGGTCAGGGAAGTAGTGATCCGGACGAGGTCTGCCGGCACAGGAAGTTCAATGAAGTGAAACGCACAGGCATGCTGGGATGAAACACGGACTGAAGAACTACAGAAACTCAGGCCGTGACGACCCGAGGCAACGACAGACATCTCTACATTTAACCACGTCTGTTACAGGAGACTAGAACTATGGGAAATGGAGTCCTAACTTAGCTTCACTGCAGTTAAACTTCCTGAAATCTGTCTGAGGTGTGCTGAACTCACAGGTTACACTTTGGCCCCTCCACGCTGGGTCTGCAGCGACAGTGGCCGCTCCTCTCGCCGCACGAAGGACCCACGGCGCCACCGATGTCACACTGACACCCTGAAAAAACAACAGGTTAACAGCTGAAACAGCACACCTGTACCTGAGTGCTCAGAGCACCGCTCACCCCGGCAGCCAAAGTAGTCGCTCTCCTGCAGGTTGAAGAAGCCATCTTTGCAGGTGGAGCAGGTTCCGCTGCAGACGTTGGGCTTACAGTGGCACTGACCGCTCTCCTACACACCAACAAACCATCTCAACCATTAGCATGACAAAAGCAGCAGCCAGGACTTTATTAGAGAAAGGGAACGAATACAGGAAAAAAAAACCCCAAACAGGCAGCGACCTCCTGCAACCGCTCACCGACCAATCAGTGAACAAACATTCACTAACACCACAGGTTACCTGAGGTCAGCTGACTCACCTGAGCACACTCGGCCACGGCGCTCACCGTCCCCGCCACGTTACACTCACAGTCTGCAGAGAAACAACCTCAGGTTACTCTGTGTGTGTGTGTGTTCCTGTCTAGCTATCTTTGTGAGGACCGAAATCTGCATTCTACCATACTTGTGAGAACCAACAATCACTTGTGCGGACACGAGGGATGGGTCCCGGTATCCGGTGCCATAATGGCAGCTGTTCTGACATAAACGGTAGTAACCAGACCGAAAAGCAGCGCACATTTCGGTGCTTCTTTTTCCTGAGCTGTGATACACTTTGGATTCTAGATAATCGTTTTACCTTTCCAAGGATAGTAGGCGGGGCCAGGTACGAACGTTCTTTTAGAGCAGAGCTACAGATTAAAAATGCCCAAGGCGAAGCGGTCAAAGTCTGGCTGTACTTCACAGCAAAAGATGCAAACTCAGCAGCAACAAGTGCTTTAAGCTGATACTGTGATACTGTCAAAGGAGGTAACACCAAG